AAAGGTGTTATGAATAACTCTTACGATTTCATTTATTAATCTAAAATTTTTTTTTTCTGATTTACGATTTACGATTACTAATCGTTATTTTCGTTTTGTTTCTTATACGGTCATACAGTACTAAATCAGACATAAATCGGATATACGCAAGGGAAGAAGATTGATAAAACAAACGAGACAGCCAAAAATATAACGTAAGAATATTAAATATAAAAAGATAACCAAGGGAAATACAAAAAAAAAAGAAAAAAAAAAGACAGAACACGCATGATAACTTTTCATCCTCATGTCCGCCAGCACAACGGTTACAAAGCGAGGATCACGTGCTTACTCTGAATCACACGTTTCCTTTATTGTGCATAAACACCACGCACATCTATTGCGTGATAAAACTTACTCTGGCTGAATGCTATTAAAGAGACTTTTCGATCACTTTGGTTCACATTACATGAATAGCCTCTTCAGATACTGTCATTGTTGTGTGGGTGTGTGATAAGGTATGTGGGTTGTGCGTGCGTGTGTGGAGTGGGTGAGTTTTGTAGAAGAAATATAAGTATTTTTATGGCCCAAGTAAGAGGATTTTAATAACGATCCAAATCTGTGGTAAAGTTAAAGATTTATTCACTATTGCAGGTCATTATTATTTTTTTGAAGGGGGGGGGGGGGCAGACAGATACCTTGTACCTTGTGTGAGCATGTGTGCACGTGCGTGCGCGCGTGCATGTTTGTGTGTGTGTAACATGTGCATATCAGATAACTTACACACTTACATAATCACGTAATGATTAGATAAGTCATATTAAATTCATCAGACAGTTCCGAAATGCGTAGGGAAAATGACCTTGATAAGTACAGCGCCATACTTCCATGTGATATTCGAGTCCGTGATCATCTGCGTATTTGTGGCCAGTCTCTTTTTGTTCCTTTTTCTCTCTCTTTTTCTTGCCTTCTCCCTTTTTGTTCTCTGTTTTTCATCTTCAATCCCCCTCTTCTTTCACATTCTCATTCTCTTTCTCTTTCTCACACTCATTCTCATCCCCCCCTATCTCTGTCTATCTGTCTGTCTGTCTGTCTGTCTGTCTCTCTCTCACTCTGTGTGTGTGTGTGTGTTTGTGTTTGTATATGTGTATATTTGTGTGTGTGTGTGTGTGTGTGTGTGTGTGTGTGTTTGTGTGTGTGTGTGTGTGTGTGTGTGTGTATGTGTTTGTATGTGTATGTGTGTGTGTGTGTGTGTGTGTGTGTGTGTGTGTGTGTGTGTGTGTGTGTTTGTCTGTCTGTCTGGTTCTATGTGTTTATGTGTTTGTGTCTCTGGCTTTTGTCTGTCTGTCTGTCTCTATGTGTTTGTGTGTGTTTGTGTATGTCTTTGTGTCTGCCTGTCTGTCTGGCTCTCTCTCGTCTTTTGTTTCTGTCTGTCTGTTTGTCTCTCTCTCTCTTCCTTTATCTTTGTAACGTACTTTCTAAATATCTATCTCCCTCCCTCCCGCTTTTGTTTTTCTCTTTTATAAAATCTCTCGCTCTCCCTCTTCATTCCAACAATTTCCCGTTGCTTCAGTCTACTTCTCTTTGTAAGTTTTTTTTTTCTAGTAATCACAACAGTAGTGGTTATTATAATGATAAAGGTAACATTTATAACAATAACAATGGTGACGATAATAATAGTAATAGTAAGGATAGCAATTATTATAATGGTGATAAAGATAATAATGATAATATCACAATGATGATCTACAAAGATGGAAAAAATATACTATAAATGTTCTGAAAAACAAAGATAATGCTAACAACACTAACAAGAATATGACGCTACTTCTATTAATCACTCCCCCCCCCCTTATCCCTTGGTCGTTTATTACTCACCCCCCCCCATCCATTGGTCGTTGTTGCCATGGGCTTAAGAGACGGAGACGAGGCCCAATGTGGAAGATCCCCCTACCTTGACCCTCAACTAATTTTGCATGGTCTTTTCTTCTCCCCCTTTTCCTTTTCCTATTATTTTTCATCCCTTCTTCTGTCTACTTATCCTAATCGTTAACTCATTATTACTTCTTTCACCACAATACTTTATCATAATGCTATACCCTATCGCTGTATTTTGAATACGCCTTAGATGTTGACGCGGCAGAAAAAAATCAATAATGCTTCTACTGATAGTAATTAAAAGATTAATAAAAAACATAGTGATAATGATGATAACGAAAGCAAAAATAGTAACAGACAAAAAATAATAAAAGTAAAGCAAAGGATAACTTAATGAAGAATTATAGGAATGACTAAAAAACACCAAGTAGCGATCGAAAGGAAATCAGATTATTTAATAGACGATGATTATTTCGAATGACGTCAGCATGATTATGATGTCATTCGCCCGGTTCTTCTGCAGGCGTGGTGGGCGGGAGGCTGAGAGTGAGCGCTTCCGTCAGACTCGCCGCCGAGAGTGTGGAGGGATTGCTGGACACTGCCCTTAGCGGCCATACCGTCTTCGTGTATTCTTCTCTCGGTAATGCGGATGTTTCATACAGAGTGGGATAGGGGCTGTAAAAGAAACGTTTAACAATCTCTATCTCTGTATCCACGCACACTTTCACACACACACACACACACACACACACACACACACACACACACACACACACACACACACACACACACACACACACAAAATCTGCGACTAAACCTCTTCAAAACCTCCATGACCTTCAACGAAAGAGATACCCCGCATCTGCATCATCATGTGTGGAAAAAACGTGAAAGTCAGAGGGTGCCAGATCCTAGAGAAAGGGGTATGGGGCAACAATTCGAAGCCGTAAGAAACTATTTTGTTCATGGCACCATGCTCTTGTGGGCAGACGCATTACCGTGAAAGAGATGAGCACCTTGGGTCAATTTCCCTCGGCGTTTCTCAAGCAGAGGCTTCCCCCGTAGATCAGCATAGTATGGCCCATAACTGGTGTGACCATGATCCATGGAGGAGAATCCCTTCAAGGTCCCAGAACACTGTCATCATGACTTTCCGGGCCTTCCGGGATGACTTCGTAACCTTGAAATTGTATGGTGTCAGAGAGGAGGGAGGCTTTCATTGCTTACATTTAGCTTTGGTTTCAGATCGATGTGAGGAACCATTCTGGGTTACGATTCGGGATATGAATCCCTCCTGATCCGCTCTCATCTCAACATCTCCGCTGAAGTCATTATCCAATTCCTCTTCTGCTCAGGCGTCAGCATTTTAGGGACCCGTCGGGCAGTTTCCTTGGAAAGATTGAGGTGACCGTGCAAAATGGTAACAGCAAATCCATTACTGGTCCCCACTTGAAAAGCACGTATTGCACTGAGATTCGGCGATGATCCATGACCAAGGCCACAGTTTCCTTTGTGACTGTAGTTGATGAACTGCCACTTCGGGGGTCAACCTCACACGAATTTCGGCCCTGCTTCAAGAGGGCAGCCCAACGTTTGATATTGGAAGAAGAATCAACTGTCGCGCTTTCCCTTGCATGTTCATCTTTACCACCTGCCTCTAGCGTTTCAGCAGCGAATAGATGAATAGAAGACGGCAGTGTGTGAGGGTGTATGTGCTTTGCTGCGGGCTGTGTTGCCCACTTTATTTGTATAAAAGGATGCATCCTTATCCACAGCTCTTCATATTTTTTTCGAATGTCAGTCTCAATGCTCTCCGATATGTAGTTGCTTCAGGAGATTATCTGAGGCCTCCCGAGCCTGCCTCCTGCCTATCCACTTTCGTACCCATACACTTCTTTTTCTTGGCTGTTCTCTCATAACAGAGTCATGCATTCTAGCTTGGAGAACCCTTGCACAAAGGACATTCTCCTGCAACGCCATGACGCCTGGGGCTGCTTAAAAACACCAGTGAATTCATAAATATTACCAGCATCGTGTAAACGGCTGAGCGTTTTATGTCTTTATCACCTTAAAGTTCGCTTTGGGAGAGTGATAAGTTGGCGACATAAGAAGTTAGCATAAATGATAATGATAATAATAATAGTTGTAACAACAACAATAATAATAATGATAGTAATAAAAAATAACGATAATAATGATAACAAATAAGATAATAACAGTGGTAAATATGATAATAGTGATAGTAATAGTAATAATAATACCAATAATGGCAATGGTAATAATAATGATATTATTTTTAGTAGTAGTGGTTGTATAGTAGTAGTAATAATAGTAGTAGTAGAAGCATCAGTAATATTAATAGTAATAGTAACAGAAGCAATAATAGTAGTAGTACTACTACTCCTACTAGTGGGAGTAGTAATAATAATGATAATGATAATAATTGTTATAATAATAGGGTAATCATAATAATAATGATAATAATAATGATGATAATAATAATAATAATGATAATAGTAATATTAATAATAATAATAATAATTATTATTATTATAATAGTAATAAAAATAATGATAATAATAATAATGATAATACTAATATGCTTATAAAACCATAGTGTACAATGCATCTTTAGGCCTACATGCAATCCAAGACGATAAAAAACTTATTATGTCTTACTCTCGGAATAATACAACTCTTGGAATAGATTTTAAAAGATGATATTACTCTATCTCACTCTACTTTTCAGACGAGAGGGATTTGGATTTCCTTGCGGCAACTTTGCGCCAGAAAACGTCTTCACTTTCAGTCTTCAACCGAAGAGAATGGGACAAGCTATTCTGGGCTCCCGTCATAGAAAACGGAGGGGTTCGCCATAAGACCAATAATTTAGTTATATTTGGAGTGACAGATTTTATGTACATGAGACAGCTGATATGTCAAGTTCATATCTTTATCATATCAGTTTGTTTTGAATCACTGGACGTAATATTACATGCGTCAAAAATCATATGAATATATAAAAAATATGAACTGTACAGGCCAGCATAACTCAATATGTGATATAACAATATAGAATAAGCATTAAACCGTGTAAGTTAAAATTATTTATAACTGACTGAACTTGTAATTACTGATATATAGAAAATATAGACTTTTTTTTTATCATGGTAACTTATTATTTGCCAACTGTGAAAACCAATGAACTGTTCCTATGGGTAGCCAAAATCTGGTAGGCGAAGCAAACATTAGGGGAAATATGTGCCAAGTTAAAGTGGAGCGGCAAACTAACCTTTATTTCCAGGCTTATGCGTATAATATCTGCTTCCTCATATCTTTTAAAAATAAGCTGTTTCGGAAGTAAATGAAATATCAGTTAGAAATCCTATCTTCTAAGCATAAACATCCATCATTCAGTATCCATTAACCTTGAACAATGAAATGTCTGATCCTCCACTTTGCTAACTTGTAGTTTTATATAAAACCAGTAATATAATGGGACCGATTTAGAAATAGTTTTCAATCTTTCTGACAAGGTCTTTTAAATATCACTTTACCCATTTCATCGTGTTCTCTAGATCACACTTTTTAATTTCATTATTATTATTATTATATTTGCACCGTTTCCCAACCTTTTTTGGTCGCGGTCCTGAGCAAGTTCTTACTATTATGATCATTAGTCTTTTTTCACCATGCGACACTCAAGGCAGAAACACATTTTCAGCTACAAGAATGTGCAGAAAATGCTACGTAAAGCGACAAGACTCCAGCCGTGTACATAAGCGTAATGTACATGGAGCAGACGTGAACGGACGCGAGCAAGTCCACTATTTTCATATATTTTATTGATTATTTGGCATTTATTTGTAATAATCTCGCTGAAGCTTAATATGCTTAATATTGTGATGGAAGTATATATACATGCATTTCTTTCTTTCATGCTATTCTTTTTATTATTATTATTTTTTAAAACCATCCACGACCCACAGGTAAATCCTCGCGACTCGCTGCCATATTGATATTTTTTGCACAAAAGTTACACACACACACACACACACACACACACACACACACACACACACACACACACACACACACACACACACATATATATATATATATATATATATATATATATATATATATATATATATATATATAATTCGGACACACATACGTACATATGTGGAGTCAAACTTAAAATAACTGAAATAATGTGTGCGAGGTAAGTCAGTTTATTATATATTTGGGCTATTAGAACAATTTATACATTTATATAACTAATGCTTGAATTGCACCAAAGCAAATAAAAAGGAGGTTATGTCACTGGACTTTATCTAATTCGGTCTCTCTCATTATTCCATATTTTTCTTTTCTCTTTTCATTTACTTTGGCTGCGACCTTCTAACCACTAAATTACGACTTACAACTGAACTGTATCCAGTATTCTGAGGAACTCCGCACTAGGTAATTTGATTACCCTCTTTCTAATGGAAAATAACATTGTTTAATGAACAATAGGTATTTTTTCACCCGTGCAATTTTTTTTTTTTTTTTTTTTTTTACTCAAATAGGAATTATTTGTATCATCTCATTATTCACAGAAAGAAATATGTTAGTGATGACTCTAATACCATTAAATAACTTATATTACTGTTTTACACATTCATGTTATCTATACATTTTGCCTTAAAAGAACGGATCATAAATACTCCTAACTACTGTCACATCTTGTGACTTTACATAATACATCGAGATTCAAAATCTTATTATAAATCTAAAAGATATTACGTTTTCAATTAGTTTTAGCCATGACCTCGTATAAGTTACCTGTAATAACAGTAAAAATTTGTACATCTTCGGCAAGTTTACAGACATTTATCACATCAGCATTAAAAATCAAGCCTGAACAGCTATGAAGGTGACGTAAGAGAGAATGAAGATAGTGATGAGCACGGGAAAGACCATCCTGGCGGAGTGCATAATGACGACGGCTTTCGGTTTGCCGACGTGCCACCTCCCGACGCGGACTTTTCCTACCTGAAAATAATCGCTTCAGTTATCAATTGTGGTACCATATAGTGGGTTTTGAAGGCGGGGGTTTCTAGAGGATCCTTTACTTGAAATCTCTTTGTTAATATGATGATCAAGATATCTGATTTAATGATTTATCAATTTCAATAACTATATTCTCATTTGATATCATTTGCGCTGATGCACAGATGCCCATGGTATGTCGAGAAGGAAGGGCTCACTCACATCAAACTAATCTCTCTCTCCTTCCCCTCTCTCTCCATTTCTTTCTCAGACTCACATACATACATGCATATACATATGCTACATACTGTGATCAAATGTGATGGTTCCTTGGTCCCAGGCAATGGCTCCTGAGGGTCGTACACGAAGTCGATAACGGTCTGCGTCACAATGATACAGAAGATGCAGCCGATGGCACCAAACATCCAGATATCCACCAATTTGAAATATGACGTTCGAGGGAGCTGAGACGACGTTTGGCTGAACAACGTTGTTAAGACGAGCATCGACGTCAAAGAAACGATGGCGCGAACCTGGGGGTATTTTTAAAATTTGAGTGTGCTTCTTGACAGATGGTTTAATAAGTAATTACGTTTACATTTCTATTTGCATTCCAGGGTGTTTATAGAAGGAATTTGGAAAATAATCGATGGAAGGATATAAAAACATACATTTCCTAAACGTCCAAAGATGATTAAATAATCTACTATTCTTTCATTTATCTCTTCATCTATCTATTTATCTTTGAAAAGACGAATATAAATCTCCTTCAGAATTTTCCAACAAAGAAAACTATCGTATTCACCTGGAAGTTTGTGAGTCGAAAGTACGTAGTCAGATAAGCTATAGACACGAAGAAGATGGAAGGGATGTAGATAGTGAGGATGTAGTAACCATAGCGACGACGGAACCTGATGTTCACCTGAAAAATCGGTGATATACGTTTGGATTTCATCAATACATTTTTTTTATTTGCAGAGAATAGAGAAGAGGTATGTAATGTTATGAAGGCTGGAAGTACAAGGTGAAAGAAAAAGAGGAAGGCGTGAAGAGGGAAGAGGAAGAGGAGGAAGGAAGTGGAGGAGAAGGAGGAAGAAGAAAAACAGCAAGAGGAGGAGGAGGAGGAGGAGAAGGAGGAGGAGGAGGAGAAAGGGGAGGAGGAGGAGGACGAGGAGGAGAAGGAGAAGGAAGAGGAGGAGGAGGAGGAGGTGGAGAAGGAGTAGGAAGCGGAAGAGGAAGAAGAAGAGGAAGTGAAGGAGGCAGAGGAGAAGCAGGAAGAATAGGAGGAGGGGGAGGAGGAGGAAAAGCTGAAAGCATAAATATTAAAAAGAGGAAATATAACTAAGTGAAAAAAACAATCAAATCAGAAAAAAAATAAATCAGAGATAAGGAAAAAACTGAAAGCCAAAGCAAAAAATAACATAGAAAGAGGTAAAGACTAAGAAAGAAGGAAAGAAAAAATATATATACACATATACATATATGTATGTGTGTGTGTGTGTGTGTGTGTGTGTGTGTGTGAAAGATTGATGCAGGGAACGTGGATCAGGGAACAGGCAAAAGTGGAAGATATTTAGGAGCATCAAAAAGAAGAAACGGCAATGGGAATGTCATATATGACTTGGTTACAAATAACATAAAGAGGCCAAGGGCCAGACCAACAAGTTGGCGTGACGAAATAACGAAATATGGGGGCGAAGACTGGAACAAAAATCGCAAGACAGACTAGGCTGGAAAAGATTGGGAGGGGCTACATCAGCAGTGGATTGATTCAGGCTGATGATGATGATACATGTATATATACATGTATATATATATATATATATATGTATATATATAGACACACACACACACACACACACACACACACACACACACACACACACACACACACACACACACACACACATATATATATATATTTATATATATATATGTGTATATATATATATATATATATATATATATATATATATATATATATATATATATATATATATATATACCCCACACACACAGATATATATGTATGTATATATATATACATATATAAATAAATAAATATATATATATATATATATATATATATATATATATATATATATATATATATATATATATATATATATATATATATATATATATATATATATATATATATATATATATGTATGTATATATATATATATACATATATTTATAAACATATATATATGTGTGTGTATGTGTGTGTGTATATATATATATATATATATATATATATATATATATATATATATATATATATAACCCCCCAAAGAGCTCCCATAGGACTAAATTACCACCAAAATGCAAAACTCACCATCTGGGCACTATAACGGGATTCTTCGGTGTCATTAGATACCATTTCAACGCTATCAATGGTGTATTCTATCAGGTTCTTAGCACCCTCGTAGAGCACACCTTGCTCCTCGAGCTGCTGAAGGACGAGGTACTGGCGAGGCGCGGACGAGAGCGTGAACTCCAAGTGACACTCCTGTGAACATATGAAATATATATACAGTAATACATATACAGTAATATATAATTCTTTTAGTCAATCAAATGGAATAAATCAACTATATCTGTGACAGACGATACCTGCTTATCAAAAGGGTACATCGCGAGGTCGAAGTTGCAAGCGTACTTGACCGAGTACTTTCTGCTCAGGGTCACTGGGTTCTCCTTACCCTCGTAAATATCAACTGAAATCATTAAAAAAATATATATCTTTTAAACTACAACAAAACTACATTTAGGAACGAATGAGGAATAAATAGGTGTAGAAAAGTTGATTATGGATAAAAAGACCTTTAAAGGGACTATTTACAAATGGCTATCAAAAAACGACTAGAACTTAACAACAAAAGTTAAATGCCTCGACGAATATTAAATCGTCTCTTCGACTCTATTCCTTGAAGACTTATTCCAGGAGAGTCTAAAGCTTAAACTCACATCCCTTGTGAAAATAAAGAATAACAGAATAACAGAATATTGTAGTGGCCATATGATAGCAAAGACTACAAATAAGGTAGTCGACTGGAGTTCAAAATGTGATGCAAATTTGTGACGTCATCTAGTGATACAA